AAATTCCTTATTTTCAAACAGTCCTGTTAAATCACTAAATTGCCCATGCTGCACTCAAAAGTGCAATTCTCCTACCTCAGCCTCCCAGACAGCTAGACTTGTAAGTAGGCATGGGTGACCACACTCAGCTACTCTATTTTATACACAGGGAAGTTTATCAGGTTAACACAGTATTTAGTCAACCTAGCACTGAAGCCCACAGTCTGACTTTAGAAGTCACAATGGTACTTTTGCATCGTGAACTTCAAGGACAGGTGATTAATTTCCACTTATAAAGAACACTCCCACATAGCTGTAATATTGTCCTATTAAAAATAACATTAAATGTAAGTGATTGTAATGCAAGGGCCAGGGAGATGGCTCAGTGGAATAAGCACTTTCCTGGCAAGCGTAAGGGCCTGAGTTCAATCCCCAGTGGCGCGCACGCACACACACGCGCACGCGCATACACACACACACACACACACACACACACACAGAAAAAGACTGTAATGCAGAATATTCCTTCTATAAAATCAGTCCTCTTCTTAAACCCACCCCAACATCAAATTGAACCTTTTTTTTTATCACTTAACTGAGATTAACATTCTTTCAAATTCTTACAAGATTGCTGTGTGTTCTTCATATGTGAAAATGCTAGCTGCCATTTGTCTTTTTCTTTAGTAGCAGAAATCTAACTTAGAGCTCTTGGTAAGTTGCCACATTTCCTAACATTTTTAGTGGCTAAACATGATCATCTGACTAAGTTCTGCAGTAACATCTGATTAGTGCAAGTATGATGCTGGAATCTAGGAATGTTACTTAAAGGAAGCAGGCTTAGCTGTGAGGGAGCCCGTCTGTCCTTCCCCACGACTTTACCTCGCTAGAAGTTCTAGCTGGAGCTTCAGCAAGTACTTTGGATTGTGAGTAGTCAACCTAGGGGAGAAAACTGCCTGCTGTAGGGGGAAGAGGACAAAGATAAAAGTCTGGACCAAGAGAGATCAGGAAGACACTCTACAATCTCAGACAGAGAAATAAACCTTTATTAGGTGGAAGACACAATTATTTGTAGATTTGTAATATTTCTGTGAAAGAAACTGAAGCAAATTCAGATAAAATTCAAATCCATACATATTTCATCACCTAAGGTTTATTTTTACTGTGTTGAAAGGAGGGAAAAAGTTAACAGAATCATTTCTATTATGACTTATTGGGATAAATCCTGTCTGGTAATTTTTAACTTTGAAAAATAAAAAAGAGGAAAAGAAATGGGAAAAGGTAAAAAAAGACACTTCTGCCTCCTTGTCATTGCTAGCCCATCTCCTCGTCTAGTGGTGCAGAGTTCTATCCATGCCCATTTCAAGGCTCTGTTCAGAAAAACCTCTTCTGTTAGGCCTTGAATTCTGCATGCCTACTGCCTCTGCCCCTTCTCTGACGATCTTGTATTTGTAGTCATAGCTTCTGTTTGGCTTGTTAACTTTTACACTGTATTTCTTTTGCTGTGCATCACCTCGGCAACCTAGCAGAAACTACCCTGTATTTCTTTGCACCCTCCACAGCTACCGGAAAATTACCTCAGTGTGGCAGGAGATCAATAAATACTTTTGACTGATTGCCTGAATTAAAGGAAGAAAAACCGTGAGGAAAAGAGAGCGGATGACTAAGAAGTGAGAATGCACAACTTAGAGGCAGAGTAAAGACCTCTAGACCAACTTTTTCTTCACAGGGCCCGGCAGAGAAATATTGCAAATGGTTCAGTCAGTGCAGAGCTCTAACTGCAGTACTCAGTGAGCTTGCTCCTACCTGAGAGGATAGCACTGCTTGCTTCAGCACTCAAGCAATCACCTCCACTTTTCCTCCCTCACCTACCGATGACATTTTTAAGGGTAAGAGGCCTAACTCAAGCAGCTTTATTTGTACCTAGTGTTGATGGTTTCAACCTATATAATACAATTGGTTTCCAGCATCATCACACCGTATAGATATTATTCTGTAAAACAATTGTGACAGCATAAAAAATAAACATACTATATACTGACTTCATAAAATATTAGAATCTAAACTAAGCAGTCTAAGAGATCACTTTTGTTGAACTTATTTCACTTTTAAAATCCAGTAATAACACAGCATCACACAAAAAATAACTACTCCAAGCATATATTTTGTGGAAACTACATCATGAAAAGATACGGCTATAGATATTAAAAGCTGTACAATATCAGGCAAAGTTAACACTATATGACAATAAAATTAGAAGCTACATTAAACTACATACAATACAATAAGAAGTGACACAAAGCATTGCAAACACATGCAATTGATATTTTATCTAGATTTATGAACCATTTTATATTCCAACAATTTTATTCTCAATTATTTGTTAGTTATTATGCTGTATATTTGTTAATGTGCTGTGCATCTAAAAATATAATATTCTAATCTATTTTCATGAATTCAGCCAACCTTTAGGATAATAAATTAATAGAAAATTTCATTTTTCCTTTTTAACATCCTTATAATTATATTGATTCTAAGCTACTTTTGAATATTTGTATATAATTCATAGCTCAAAACTCTAACAACAATACATTTCTTGAGAATTACTCATTAATTATATCCTAAGGTCAAAATTTTTTTTCCACAAAGATTTCTCAGAAGTCTCTAAGACAGTAGCTTCTTTGACAGTGAAATGAGCAAAATAAATGACATGTCAACAAGTAAATTAGCATTCCCTTTCTGACCAGCTGGGTCATGTTTCCTTTACAACATCTACAGTCCCATGATACAAAATAATAATAATCTAAAAGACCTCATTAAATGATCAATATATTGACATAATCTCTGTAAGGAGACATACCATATTTTAATTGATTCCTGAATCCATTAAGTGGAATATTAACCCCAAACTTCCAAAATATATGTAAGAAAACATTTACTTTATTCATCAGCTAATCTTCTTTAGGGTGTTGATAATGGCACATGAAAAGACTGGAAAGTTTCTATTTTTAACCAAAGATGAAAGAAATACAACTCGCACTAAATATTTCATACAAATAATAATACAGCAAAATTTTAATAGATAAGTTAAAATAGGTTTACTTACCAAAAAACTTCCAAAGGCTGAATTAAATATCGCAGCTGCCTACAGAGAAAATAAATGGGGGGAAAATTCACTGAAAGTAAACAGGAATTGGAAAAGCAAGGAGTATCATTCTCCCTTCCCCCCTTCAAAACCTTAAAACATTGACCCTGCACAGCTATGTTACTCACTGCTTACAAAAACTGCCAGTGGCCTGTAATTTACTAAAACAGATGAGCTGTAGCTTAGGAATTCATAAATAAAAGGTCTCAAAAGCAGGTAAAAAAGGTCTGTTATGAGAAGCTCTGAACCTGTAAGACAGTACCAAAAGAATCATCACCAACAGTAAATCAAACCTTGTTATTGATTTTGCTACAAGGCTTAGAACAATCAGAGGTTGATTTATTCATCAAAATTTCATATTACTGTGAGAAGGAACAGGAATTTTAAAGAAAACATTAATTAGTCCTTGTCAGTGGGCAAGTGCTATATACTATACCTGTTTCCTTACAACACACTTTAGAAATCTGAACAATGCAGTTAAGACCAAGAAAGCTATTGCTAATGCCACTCATTAGCTCTAAGGTTGTAACAGGCAAGAAAAACTTCAATCTAGTACTCAAGATTTAAAGAAATACTTGACTTTGTGCTTACCTAAATATCCATGAAAACCACAGTAGATGTAAGATAGCTCTTAACTTTAAATCAAGCATTATATTCCATGAAGCTACACCACAGTCCTGAAAGCTTCTTGCAATATCCCAAAAAGGAGAAAAACTTATACTATATCCAATTTGATGAAAGAAAATAGGAGACAGGGAAAATTTAGGAAAAGGGGAAAGGAGGGGGTAGAGAAAACCTATTTACATCTCCAGCAGATCCAGAGCAGAATTAAATTAATCATCATGGACATTAGCAACCACAGTGTAGTAAAAAAGAAGATGTCAGCTAGCAAGTTTGAATAAAGTCCAAAGCCAGGCTAGGAGCTGTAGCTGAAAATGCCTTTTGCTCCAGAAGAGGATGCAATAAGAGTGAATGGGAAATGAGAGCCCTGGCTCCAGAGAGCTAAGCTCTCCTATTCCAGTTCATAATTAATTCAAAGCTTTGATAATTTCATTAGATTTCTCCTTTGCTGGCCCTATCAATAAAAGATGGCACTGGACCACAGCTCCTCTGTGGCATAAACAGAGGCACAGGCTCAACCCGGGAAACCTTTGCTGCCTGTTGGGGACAATGGCATATGGTGTTCTGTGTTGTACTGGAAGCAGTGGAAAATCAAAAGAAAATAAAACATTACAGATGACAACTGTAAACTATACCAATGTTGTTAGCACATCTTCCTGGAATCCCATTATGGATGATTCCAGGAAAATTTTATGTACAGTGAAAAATAAAGGATATAAATGAGTGAGTTTTGGTGAGCCCAACAAAAGACACTGCATTCCTACAAAATACACCCCCCAACAATCTTCCTATCTAGACCCTATATTGTACTTCAAATGGATTTCTCTGCCCTTTTTAGTAATAGAACAAGGTCTTCCCCTCTGAGCTCCTCTTCTTCCAAATTCATTTCCTTCCAGTGCTTTTCACTAACATTTTATTAGATAAGTAATTGGTTTGTGTAGCATTCAAAGAAACATAGACTCTCAGAAGAGACTAGAAAGTCAGAGAAAAATAAGTACTAAGCACTACTCACAAGGGTGAACCACCATCTCCCCATTCCCTTCCCTTTTGTAGCCCAAACACAAGTAGCATGCTTTATATAAGCTGGATATGATAGTGGTACCAATGTTAACAAATCTTAGATATCCAAAAATGCTAGATCAATTACCCCCTCCTCCGTTCCCTCCTCTCCCCTTTCCTCCTCTCTCCTTTCTCTGTCCTAGGAATTAAACCCATGACTTTCAAACTGTCTCTATCCAGACCTCCTTCATTAGTGAGGCAGGACCTCACTAAGTCAGTAAATCACTCAGGCCGGGCTTGACCATCCTACCTTAGTCTCCAAGCCTGCTTTTTAATTGTTTTCCGATAGCACTGATGGAGTTGAATTTCCCCAGCTACCCCATCGTCCCACTTGGTAAATACCAGCAATATGTTGTGAAATGGTTGGTCATGGTTCTGAGCACTCTGAATCAGACATTGAATCAAGGATCTTGGGCTCAGTGGCCGCAGACTGCTGATTAACAGCTGGCTGAGAAGCTGGGTCAATTCTCTCAATAGTTGTAGCAAAGGGCAATGGAAAATACTAAAAATATCTTATTGGTATAGAAAAGACAAGCTTGTCTTCTTTTTTTTTCCTGGTACCAGGCATCGAACTCAAGACCTTGCATTTGTCAGGCAAGCACTTATTCCACTGTACTATCTCCTCAGCCCCAAGCCTGTCTTTTGACTTAATAGAATGTAGAAGTCCCTCAATCAACAGGTTTCCTCTGCCTTAAATTTAACATTCTTATAACACTAAATTACTTACAATTCCCCCATATTCATTACTGCATCGCTCACCTCTTTGCTTTCCTGCTTGAAATGCCCTTTCTCCCCCTCTACCTGAGTAGCATTCCCTTAGCAACTGAGCACGGGCATTGTCCTTCCAAGAAGTTTTCAATCACGTCCCTGGCCTCACAGTCTAGCAAACACATACACACTTACACATCCAGTAGACGAAACATTCCCAGGCCTGCTACTGCTAGAACATCCAATGCTTGTCTCTGCCATGGCACTTTTCACACTGTATGGAAATCACTTCCCTATCTCACTACAGGGAACGATATTCTAAGGAAGGAATTTCATAAAGCATATGCTGAGCAAGGGTATGTTTTTTTTAACCGAGTTATCAAGATCAGTAAGATTGCCTGCAGAGTCTAAGGTCTGTCTCTCCTACTAAGCTATTAAATGTCAGTAGAAACCAAGGATTGGGAGGCACAGACCACTGGATGATAAGCTTAGTAACAAACAAAATACAATGAGAGGAAATCTACACTTCAGTCTCTCAGACAATCTAATAATCTTCACAACATCATCCTTTACTTCCTTCAAAGTGCCCCAAATTTCCTATCATGATATAATTAGGTGAATATGTTTAACATAATGTTTGAAACTTAGTACTATGATATAGCAAGTAAGTTAGTGAAATAAAGTCTAGAATTACAGAGCATTCCACAACCATAAGGAGATAATCTACATGCACTGACATGAATGACAGAAAGGCAAGCTATCAGAAGGGAAAGGGGCAAGCTTAACCAGGTGTGGTGGAACAGGCTGTAATCCCAGCACTCAGAGGCTGAGGCTTAAGACTACAAATTCCAGGCTAACCCAGACAATTTAGAAACTTAGTGAGATCCTGTCTCAAAATAAAGAAAGGATGAGAACATCCTTCTTCCTGAAAGCAACCATCAAAGTATTTGTCATTATGTTTAAATTCATTGAAAGACATGGGGTGGAGTTATTTTTATGTTTGATTTTGTTCTGTCTTGTTTGACTTTTTAATTTTAATGTTACTTTTTTATATTTCAACAAAGCTTATCTGGGCAGAAAAAAAATGTTTACATTTTCTAATTTTTGAACCCCTTTATGTTAAAGATAAATATTTAAGATAACATTAATACTTCCAAAGGGCCAGATAGCTCAATGGATTAAGGCGGCTGCTTAGGCAGACACAGGGGCTGGAGATTGGATCCTCAGCCTGTCGAGTCGGCCCTGCCCAGGGGGCTCACTGAGACAGCCACTGAGACTGGGCATGGTGGCACCTGCCTGTAATCCCAGAGCTTGGGAGGCTGAAAAACAGGAGGACCACTAGGAGTCCGATCTGTGTAGTGAGACCCTGTAGACCTTGTGCTAAATACAAAAACAAAAACAAAACAAAACAAATATATATATATATGTATATATATGATATATACATATATATGTATATATCATATATACACATGATATATTACATATCATGATATATGTTTATATATCATATATATGATATATATATGATACATATATGATCATAGAAAAATGGCTACAAATAAAACACACTTTGTAAACCATGATCAAACTAGAGCCAGTAAGATAATTTCTTCTGAAAGTAGGACCCTTTGGATTATAAAACCAGATTCTCTTTAGATATGAGCTTCCCTCTTTTTTGTTTTCCAAAAGCCATACCTGGGGCAGTCTCATGCTTCTTAAACAGTCACTACATTTATTACTCCTGCAGTCCTGCAAAGCCCATGGGCTAAGGCTTGGTTCCCAGCCTGGGCCATTACTGCAAGGTGGCAGAACCATTTGGATGGGGGACACTGCTGCCCAGAAGTCCCTGCATTTCCATCCCCCATGCCCTTCTGCTGCCATTCCTGGTCACAATGAGCTAAACATCTTTCTTGGCCACATGTTCCTGATACAAGGAGAAAAAACTGATCTCGGGTGAGTGACCTCCAAATGATACAGGGAACCTCCAAATGATATAGGGAAAAATGATCTCTCAACCTGACCTGCACAAGTTCGTGTTCTCCAAAACTGAACAATGAAGTTTAGGAACAAACAGAAGTTATGAGCAGACCATATTTATTGAGGGAAAGAAAGCTCCTGTCTGAGAAAGGGACAGGAGGGGGGCCCCGCAAAGGTAGTTCCTTGGAAGCTGTCACTTCCAGGGACTTTTATAGTGTAAAACCATGCTGGACTAAGGTGGAAAGAATGGGAACTCACTCAGGTGGATGTGGAGTGGGACAAAACTAAGGTCAACCAATGGGATTACAAGCACCATTGCTCAGGTAAAATTGATTAAGTCTGGGACCAAACGGGGAAGGGAGTCAGGCAGCAATGGAGAATGAATGCAAAACAGGACTGTATCTGGTAGCCATCAGATAAGGATTCTTTTTGGCTTTTTCAGGGTAATGATCAATCCAGGATGCTAATCTTTAGGGAGGTGAGCATTTGTTTGTTCTTTAGGTCTGGCTCTCAGCAGAAGCATCCGTCCCTCCCACAGTTGTAAGGCATCCGGTCTTTTGTGCTGTCTCCTTCCAGGGCCTGGCCCTGTCTGACTGCCTATAATATTTCTATCCAACTTGGTTGCCTATAACATTCCCACAATGAGGCACAAGCCCAAAACTAACAGGGCCAAGCAAATATGAACTGAAGTACCTGAAACCATGATAAAAAAATAAAATTCTCATTTTCAATTGCTTTTCTAAGGTATTTTGTCAAGTGACAAAGCTGGCTAACATAGTAATTATCTCCTTTGTTAGAAGCAATTTTAAAACCTTCAACTTCTAGAATGTTGTATTACAATGAAAATATTTTCTCATTTGTTGAAGGTTGTATCCTTAATACCTACAACACCTGGCTCACAGTACACTTTCTATAAATGTTACTGGAGCAAAGAGTAAATGAATGAATGAATGAATGAATGAATGAATGAATGCACAAATACTTTTTGTACTAAGTGAATGTCTTACCCAACAATGCCTTTATTATTAACTCATGAATCCCATCTACAAAGTGTATATATTAGATTTATTATGTTAGATAATTAGATCAAGGCTAACTTCAAATTTTTACATTATGGTAGTTTTTTAATAGTGAGAAGATTGCTTCCATTACATTGCATATTTTTAGATAATATATTACTTTCAGTATCAACCAAGTTTTATCCAATATAAGGTATTTTACTAATTCTTTATTATATAGTGTATAATATGTCTTTATTAAATTACTTGGGGAAATTGAGCAAGTTCAATAGTAAATTGTTTCTTCATAAACTACTTGTAATTATTTAGAATAAAAAGGTAAATTTTCTAAAAACAGTGGGGATGGAGAGTTTTCTAACTCAAAAAAGCTACAAACGGTGCTGAACATTATGAAGTTCTGACTTACCAAAGCTGACACCCGGGACTTCCGGTAAATGCTGCACCCTGACTATGTTCTATGCTCCATAGTAAGGGAAGCATCTTCACCCCCCTTGAAGTATATTTCAAATACGTCTATGATTGTTGCTCAGACTATAAAGTCATATAAAATTATATTTAACATTTTCTTAATGCTGATGTAATGTCCCACTTTTTTTTTTGCTTTGAAAGTTAGAAACAAATTTCATTTAAGATCTGAAATACAATTCCTAAAATACCAACTTTGCCAGCAAACTATGTATACACAACAATGCACTGCCTCTATCATCTTAGAATGTGCATCACACTTAAATACAAAAACCAAGAAACAAACCACCATTCTTCAACAATGTAAGCAAAACCATGAACAAACCACCATCCTTCAGTAATCTGAGCTACAGAATGCCTCAGGAACAACACAGTTGGATTTGCAAAGGGTGGGCTGTTTTACTTCATTCAAGCACCATAAAAAAAGCACAAATTTATGCGTTTTCAGGTATATACATTAAGTTGAACTTTTGGCAGTAGGAATCAGGGCGATCTGTCACATAGCATTTAACACATATTAGAAAATTGTGTAGTGACAAAGGGATAGAACCACGGGCACTTAAGCAATGTTGTCAACTAGGCAATAAAATGGTCTACTGAATGTTTTTTTCTTTGTCTAATTACTGCATACACTGGTAGCAACGTTGAAATGAGGAAAGGAGTTTATACTGCTTTTATTTTCTGTTTAAAATAGAACAGAGGGGCCAGGGAGACGGCTCAGTAGAACAAACACTTCCCTGGCAAGTGCAAGGGCCTGAGTTCAATCCCTGGTTCTGCCAAAGAAAAAATAAAATAAAATAAAATAGAACAGAAAACAAACTGAAACATAAGCCCTGTTGTATGTTGACAATTTTAAAGAACATCAATTATACAAGTAAAAGACTAAGAACAGAAAGTGTTTACAGATATCAGTCATCAGTGGTGAGAGGTCGGTGGGCCCTCAGAGGGCTTTGTGACGGTAGTCAGCAGAAGCTACTTTGTTTTTTAAACTTATTATTATTATTATTATTATTATTATTATTATTTGTATTTGTATTTTAGGGAAGGGTCTACAGTGTTCAGGGTCTCACTACTAGATTAGATTCACAGTGATCCACCTGTTTACAGCCTCCCAAGAGCTGAGATTACAGGCGCAGGCCACCATGCCCAGGCTCAATTGCTAATCTCAGCGTGTCCCCGGGGGGTTGGGGATTGGAAAAGCACAGCAGGCCCAGGGATTGAACCCCCATCTCCTATGCCTGCTTACAGGCACTTTAATCCGCTGAGCTATTTGGCCGGCCCTCAGAAGCCACTTTGTAATCACTGGCAATAAACAGTGATGCAGAATTCTTTGCCAGATACTTTAGGAAATGATGCAAATAGCCCAACAATACTGCAAGGCTTTCTCATCAAGGGGCGGATAGGCCAACATCGCTTCTACTCTCACAGATAATCTCAATAGGTGTGGTGCTCCATAAACCTGGGACACTGGCACATCAGGATGAGCCAAGAGGATTTCAGCAGACTGGGGCCTCTCAAATTTGTAGAGCAGCTAAGGACCCCCAACATTACATTGAAACACTCTTTATTCCTGCCACAACTTCATTCACTGCATATTCCTTATTACCAACATTTCCCTGTGCTTTCTTACAATTGGCATACTCTTCCAGAGTGGCATCTACATTTTTCTTAGCAGGAAGTTGAAAGAGATGCTTCTGCCTGGTCACTAAGTCCCAGCCCTCCACAAGCCACGGTTTTAATTCTTCAGTAATTTTCACTTTAATTTGCATCCTATTCCATCTTCTGCTTATTCTCTCTTGTCTTCCTCACAGATCCTGGGAAGGAGGGTTCTCCATGGAATGACCACCCCATCTTCCTAGAAGAGCTGGCTCAAGCTTCTTTGGCTGCAGATCAGTTGCCTTCTTTCCTAAGGTGGCCCCTCTCATCTTACTTCTCTGCATATTGCTTTGGAATGGCTTTTTGAAGTTGTCCTCGTCTGCAGATTGCTGTCCACGAGTTTGAGAACCCTGCTTTCTGGAACACATTGAACCCTGTTTTATTCCAACCAACGATCTTCCTTCTTTCCTTTCTAGGAACTGCACGTCATTTCCCAAGTGGAATCTTGCAGGTCTTCGGGGTGGTCTGAAAGGAGGAAGTAGGGGATACAACCCAAGATTCTGGAATCAAGGATGGTTCTGCAATCAGGATCAGATCTCCTGATCCTTACTGTATGTCAAACTTAGTCTTTCTGATGGTGACCTGAAATGAGAATCCAGATCTCTCCAGCAGGACGTGTGTGCATCACCATCCCTCCAACCCCCATAATCCTAATGTCCCTCTTTTAAAATTCCATTGTTTACACTGAGTAGGAATGATTTATTGCACATTAATTTACTAAACTTCTGGGTTTTGCTGTTGAATAATCTGACTTGCAGTTAAAATGCACAGAAATGAATATATAGATATGTTTATCGGATTGATAAAATTGAGTATTTGTGGTTATCTCTAAATTTCTAAGGAGACTGTATAGCAAATGCCTCACTATTCAAAACTCAGGTAGCAGGCACATAGCTTAGTACTTACAAAAAGATACCAGGTTAGGCCAGAAAACCCTACACGTATACCCTCCCATCTTTGCAATGAAGGTAGGAGAAACTGTAGACAAGCAAGAATAACATCACTGCCCATACTAATGCTTTACTAAAGGAACAAATTCCATGCTGCGCTGTCATAGGAGCAGAAGAACCACTATCAGCCTTTTTCTTGTTGTTTTTAAATATATTTAGTACAGGGTCTAAAGGGTCTCAATACGTAGATCGGACTGTAGTGATTCTCCTGTTTTCGGCCTACCGAGTGCTGGGATTACAGGCATGCAACACCATGCCCAGTCTCAATCCCTATCTCAGCATGACCCAAGGGCAGGGACAGCACAGCACGCTGGGGATCAAACCCTGGGTGCTGTGCTCTGCCTAAGCAGGCACTTTAGTCTGCTGAGCTATCTGGCTGGCCCAGCTTTCTTAATACATACTGGTATATTCCTTAGAACTAGGTGGCTCCACCTCCTAAAAGTTCCATACCCTCCAAATAATGCCTCAGGCTGGGGACAAACAGTTAGCATATTGGCCACTGGCAGACATTTAGGACCCAAACCACAACAAAGAGTAAGCACGTAGGCATGTGTGATGACAGGGCCCTGCAGGTCCTCATACCACACCACCTACAGGATACCACAGCCCCACTCCCATTCATAAGCACATCCCTCTCCCACCCTGAGTCTACAGAGGCCAGAAGTAGGAAGGTAAAGGTTAAGAAAAATAATGAAAATGTCATGCGTATTCCTCACAGTCCGATTTTTGAATTTGTAGTAGTATCTATGTTTATTCATTAACTAAAAAAATGTTTCTATAGTTAAAAAATATAGGTTAGGCCTAGGTTACGAAAGAAAGAATTTTAAGTTTTTAACTAAACTGCCCTGGATTATGGATTATTCAATATCTAAAAGTTAATCCTAAATACTAAATATAAGACTTTTTATTTTTCTAGTACTAGAAGTACTAGACAGGGCCTTCACAGTGAACTACATTCCCAAACAAAGCCTGTTACTTCACTAAATTGCCCAGGTTGGGCTCAAACTTGAGATCCTCCTGCTTAGGGCTCCCAGAGTACCGAGAAGACAGGCAAGCACCACTTTGCCTGGCTTCATTATGCAACAGGTTTTGTAACTGAAAGTACCCAGAAAGCCACAAGATCTAACAGAGCTGCTCTCAAAGGACAGCAGGGGGAAGGGGTGGGGGATATGTGAGAAGGTATTTCAGGTAAATAATCCTTAAATTAGCACCATTCAAAAAAGGAACACATTGACAAAACAGTATCTCATGTAGCTGGGCCACTCTGACAGCACTGAGCCACACAACAAAAACCATCAGCCCTGACTTTCAGGCATCTTTGGATGAGAAAAATAAGTCCCCACTTTTATGCCATGTTCAGTCTGATTTTCCACTTGAAGCCTAAGCGGCACAAACATGACTCTGAAGAGGGGAGAAAACAATACAGTACTAATCAGACAGGTTGAAAAACAAACAAAATTTCTCCCTCTAGGATTAAAAATTTGAGTGGGCACATTAAATTCTATTTAGCGCAATGTCTTGCCTCCACTGGCTATAGCAAAATATGGAAAAGACAGGCAAAACAAGGAATTGACAGCTGAGTCTAGGTCATGACTGTTAGACACCAAAGCTGAACTGCCTTGGAAAAGGTCCTCGACTATGAGGACATAGTCTCTCATCATGCGAACATCTGTTCACGGGACAGAGAACCAGTCTCAATATTCATTTTCTTTCTTAAAACAATGTTTATTCATACACATTTGCCTACGCAACAAACGCAAGCATCATGGAGTTGGTATACATATATAGAATATGGAATTATTCTTTTCTCCCCCTACCCCACCCTCCCTCTCTACTCCTTCCATCTCTTGAACCCCTGCCCTCTTACAAAGGGGTTCTCTATCTCCCTATTTCTTACCAACTATCTTTTATATTACTCTTTATTTATACTTTGGGTTTTTCTTATAATTAAAACCATGGGGCTGGCGAGATAGCTCAGCGGTCTACAGTACCTACTTAGGCAAGCTCAGGCAGGTGCAGGGGACCACCACGTGCCGCATCATCCCCACCTTAAGGGTGGGCTGAGCCAGGCCCCACCAAAAAAAAAAAAAAAAGCACTGTTTCAGTGTGTGTCTGTGTGACTTATTACACACAACATTACACTCTTATGGTGCATCTATTTTCCTACAAATGACAAAAGTTTATGGCTAAGTTACTACTCAGTTGAGTTTAAATATCATAAATTTTTATTCATTCTATATGCAAATTCAGTTTGAAAAACAAATCAACACTTAAAACATCAGATTGAATTCCAATCCTTCTTTGGCCTTCAATTAAATATGGAAATGCAAAAATAAATTTATTCAAAAGAAACTGTTAAAAGTGTTGTATGCATAAGTAAAAAAAGTTCACTTTTCAAAGATAATGACACTTTTCACATTAGCAACACTTTTGATAGTTTATCACTTAAGTATTATTGTCATTGTAAAACCACACAACAAGTGAAATTTCAGTTACACATTTATGTTTGTATCGCATTAAAGTAATATTTAGTAATATTACAGGAAAGCAAATACATAGACTATCAGAAGGATATTAGTTAAAAATGAGTTTATACACAATGCTAAATATTAAAGGAGCACCTTTCATCTCATTCTGTTTATGCATATTGTTTTGTAAGAGCAATGTTAAATAGTAAATGTTATTTTGAAACTATAATTGAGGGCCCCTGAGATAGCTCAGCAGACTAAGTGCCTGCTTAGGCAAGCGCAGGGACCAGGGTTTGATCCCCAGCACCACATGTCATGCCAGCCCCAACCTCAGCGGTGCTCCTGTAATCCCCATGCTGGGGAGGCTGAGACAGGAAGATCACTACAAGATGAGGCTGAATAGTGACACCCTGTACCAAATACATTAAAAAAAGAAAGAAACTATAATTGAATGTCTTTACAATAGAAATCTTAATAAAGATTCCATACCTCTACTAGGCAATTAAAATAAGATTTAGTTTGAGAACACTTTAATTCCTTGTTTCAAAAATACTTCATGAATGAAAAGAAATATAAGTTTACAGTAAATGTTTGACATCCAGCTATTTTTCTAAGAGTAAGGTATATTTCCTCCCTATTTCTACAGGCCCATTTCTTGATACAGGCATGGAAAAATTATTTAATATCCTCAATCTCAAGGTGAATGGGAGTTGCTATTCTTACTTGTAACTATTCATCTCAATTCAGGCCAGGAAAAAATATATTCAAGTTACTGTTTCCAGGTGCTAAATTGAATCAGGTGTCCTCTCCTCTTAAGAAAATTAAGTTGCTTTTGTGCAAGAGTGTTTTAATGAGAACAGAGCCAGCCGACAGTGATAAATGGGAACGACACCAGAGAGAGCACGTAAGCAGGACAATATGTGCACGTTACAGTCTTACAGCCTATTTTTCACTGACTATTCTGAATGACTTCGCTGTTTCTTAAGGGGCCTATTAATCTCAAATTTAGTTATTACACAACGGTTATTTGAACATATATTCTGCGAATGATGACAGTTAATAAAGGAAATCTTTTACAAGCTGTATTTTTACATATTGTTCCAACCACGGCCCCCAGTCATTTGATGGTATTGATGGAGTAACCTACATTGTGCTGCAGCTTTTTTAAAAAAAGGCACATATATTCAGATTCTTTTCTAAGCATATGGGGACTCTTAAATAACTGTTAAAATGCATGCAAAAAAAAATCCTAGTACGAAATGGTAAAAGTAAAAGAGCATCTTAACTGTTCAACAAAAAAAATCGTTTAATGTGCAAACTGACCCTTCTAAGACAAACCAGGAACCTTTTAACACTTTTAAAGGCTTGATGCCTAATAAGTAATAGTTCTTGCATACCAATTTATGTTTTCACAATATGCACCAAGTGGGAGAGAGGACAAAATCAATTTTCTTGAGGTGCAAAAAGAATCAAGTAATATTGCTGCTTTCTTTTCACCTTGGTATGCTTTTCTGGCAAAATGTACTTAAAATAGTGGAATCTGAATTTCTTGTTTCTAGTAGCATATCAAGTTTAAAGGAATTATTTTTGCATTTTCCTAAAAACCTATTTATCAACTGAAATAAATATACTGATTCAGGTTGTGATTCTAGTTCCTGGAGAAATTCATTACTTCAAGTGTTTACTGGATAATAACAAAACCT